TCAGGTCATCTCGAGGGGGAGGAGGAGAAGGGAATTGGGAAGTTGATTCAATTTGTCCAGTCTCTGGATTCGGAGGGTCGTCCATGGTTGGAATGATATGTGTGTGAAGAAAAGTATATGGTTGATTTGTGAAGGGTGAACAGTGAAAGCCGATTGATCGGGTTTGACTGTCAGTTATGGGTTTATGGGGTTATGTATTGGTGTTTGGATATTCTTAGGGGTATTATTACGTATTTAGTGCATAGAAATATGAAAGATGTGTGAAAGACATCTGTTTATGAGGGGGTAAATCGGTGTATGGAGTGAAGATGGACTTCCCACCAAAAAACAAAGTAGGGGAGTGAAACTTGATGGAAAGTGTGTGAAAATGCATACTTGATGCTCCGGATGATGTGTGTAGGTGCACGCTAAGTGCATCCTGACCAGCTCACATGATGCCCCAGATGTTGTGTGTAGGTGCACTGGTGTTGGAGCATGACCAATACTTGATGCTCCGGATAATGTGTGTAGATGCACGGGTGTGAGAGCATGACCACGGGTCGGACCAAGTGCATCCTGACGAGCGCACTTGATGCTCCACATGTTGTGTGTAGGTGCACCGGTGTTGGAGCATGTGCTCCGGATAATGTGTGTAGATGCACGGGTGTGAGAGCATGACCAGGAGCAGTACATGCTCTTTTATTGATCCATAAACAAATCATCTTCTTTTAACGTAGTCTTTCTTTTAATATTTAATTATACTCAGGAAACCTCACCTCCTTTTCATCAGAATTATTGTTCAGGCAAAAGTACTGGATGTACCCAAGTAACTTACCTAAATGGGTTTCTCTAGCTGGAGTGGCTTGGTTTGATTCATCTTGATAAGTGTAATGAATCACTGTATGTAATTCAGACTGCTAGTCAGTGATTGCAAAGGGACTGGAGCTACTGCTTTTGAACATGGAAAGCATCAAGGGAGGTGGTGGGAGGTGAAAAAAGTCGCAAGGTATTTCAAGGACTTACCTAAAAGGTAAAAAGACGTGGCACGTCAAACTTGTAAGCTTGGTGACCATCATCAACTCAATTGATTGTAGGTACTTTCCAACAACTTTCCTACGGCTAATCAAAGCCCAACCGACCAAAAGAGGCAATTATAAAAAAATAATGTGCAAATGATACACATAACTAGCTGGGGATTGCTATTCATCTTGCGCTAGGTACCCCTCATCGTTGTCTGCTTCAATTTTTGACTTTTACTCACCAATCCACATGGCCCCTCGTAATCGAACCAACCTTTCGCGTCCAACAAATCGACTGAAGAAACCTAGGAACGAAGCGAGTCAATCTGCTCAAGAGTTGTCTGAATGGGATGATAATGAAGAAAAGTGGTGTGCAAAAGAATGTGACCTGCTCAGCCGTGCACTCACCCAGCCGGAACCAGCTACAAACAACCCCTGGCCCAATGAGATTGAGGGTGATCAATTTATTGGCGGTAACGACGGGTATTATGACTTTGATGACGATGCTCACACACCGCCTCATGAGTCATCAGATTCAGGAGCAGAATCTGATGATTCTGTGCACTCACTTGCTTCCGATACTGACGTTGGTGTTGTGGGTGCTCGGATAGCGGGGGAATACAACCGTCGGCGTCGAATACGAGAGGAAAGGCAATGGGAGGAGGTCCTTGAACCAATGTTCAAAGTCTTCATGCTATGCAAACTCCTCACATTCAATTGGAGTCAATCTGAGACTGGAATTTTGACAAATAAAAACAATGTCGATGCTTG